ACAGACGCTCTTGATTCTGGAGGTCATCAATAATATAATAACTCAAATACTGAAACGGTTACGCCCTATTCACACGGGGCTTCAGCGTCAACGCTTGACAGAGGGCGTGTCTGAAGTTGGAGCTGAAACGATCGTCATAGAAGCGTCAGCCAATGAAATTCAGTCAGCAATAGGCCACTGTCTGAGCTGGTGTATTTGCATACAGCGATCTGATTGGCTGACGCTTCCGTCGGCGATTGAAAAGTTGAGCTGGTCCCAACTTCTGCAGCGAGGAACGCTTCTGAAGCGCCGCCGACGGATCCACAATGCAGTTCGGCAACGCCTGACGTCACCCATTCAAAGTGAATGGGAAGCGTTGACGCTGACGCCCCGTGTGAATAGGGCGTTAAGGCGTTTTAGAATGACCAAAACAACAATTCAGATGTTTTACAATATACTCAGCCTGCTGCTTTATCTATTCACACACATTTTCATCATCACATAATCTCTTGTAACAAAATCACATGACCTTTTTTTAATGCAGACTCTGGAATTTGTTCAGTAAAAGTGTTTGCATCGTAGTTTAAGCGCATCTTTTTTTATCGAATAAAAAGTTTATCCTACTCGCATATATTTATGCGCATATGTTTTTTATGCACATTTTCAAAATTGATGTGCGTCTTGGCATTTCCAACAACAGATTTTTCTTATGCGCATATCCAAAATGCGCATAAAAAATAGGCAAACAGCTACTCCGAGTGACAGTGTTTACACTGACAAATCATATGATGCTTTTCTCGGTGACGTGGAGCCGATCCGTGAATCACAGCACATCATGTTAGCTGACCAATCAGAGCCTCTTGAGGCCAGGCCTTTCAGAGGAACTAGGAAATATGACAGAGTAGCTGCTAACATATAATCAAAGTAAGATATCTGAAAAAAAATAACAACTTTCTACAAGTGAAGCATGAGCACACATAGCTTTGCATCTTATAAACACAACAAAGCCTTCAAAATACACTCTGGGTCACCCGTGTAGACAATTGGTTAAAAATGTTAAATATAAATAAAGTTTTTTTTTTTTTTTCATAAACGTAATACACTTGATTAATTTGCTCATATTTTATGCAGATTTTGCACAATGAAATTTGTGTAGTGTACAGAACTTTAGAAAATGAGATGTGTTTGGATTTCCCAGACTCCAAAAACTCCAGATCAGAGTCAGATTTCTCAATTGATAAATCTCAATTTGGTTTCTTATCAAATTCGACTAGGATCAATTAAAGTGTTTTGTACTTCAGACTGTTTTTCCCTCTGAAGAAGTTTCAGCTGAAACATCCCAGACAGAGCTAATACTTCAGACCTCCATTCAAGAGCGATCCTTCCGGGTCTTTGTGTATTAGTTAATCACGTTTGATTCAAACTCTACTGGTGGAGACCTCTCGCCCCATAATGCCGCAGTGTGAGCGCAGACTTGGGTTTAGCCCTGGGCTGTGCTGCGTGTGATTTGGAGAAGCAGGAACGGAGGCTCATTGAGTTCCTCACACCCAGTCTGAGCAGCTCTCAGCATACCAATGAACTGGCATGAATGGACACGACACTCGGAGAATAAGAAATAACAAACCACCTTTGGCGGTCGTGTGGGGTGAAAGAGTCTCTGTGTGCTGAATAAGTCACGCTTATACTGGGAAGTCAGGAGGTGTGAACGGGGACCAGTTCGGAGAGTCTGCTCTGACTGTGTGATGATTACAGGCCGCACGAGTCCAAGATCTGCTGCGTTCGCTCACAACTTCCGCAACACACTCCGGCCTTCCTCATGAATGTGTGTGTGTGTGTGTGTGTGGGAACAAGTCAGATGGCACTTTATTTTGGGTTCCCTTTTAGATGTTTACTATACTCCTTCTTTCTACATGTGACTTCAAATTATATGCTACACTTTCGGTTTGGGGGACCTGTTGAAAATTTTTTTTAATAATTTTGTTGTGCTACAAATAATTCATATACACATGTTCTATAAAAATGCTGGGTTGTTTTAGCCCAGTGTTGGGTCAAATATGGCCAAACCCTACTGTTTAGTTGATTTCTAGTGTACATAGTTAGTCTTTAGTTGAACAATTAATAGAAAAAGTTTGATTTGGTAATCTTCCAACAAATTGAGCATTTGCCTCTGTGTTTAGAGTGTCGGTCCTTCTCTGATGATGTCAGTTTGATGGCTTTAGTCACAATTTTAAGCCACGCCCCTAGTTTATTAGTTTGCTATAAAGGAAAGATGTGCAATAAGAAAGCCCCACCCCTACTTAATATTCTGTTTTAATAGGAGGTACATCAGCATACTGGATTCACCCTGCTTTGAATGAACTCTTGGACTTATTAATTTACTTGATTTTAATGATCTGAGTGGTCTGTTAGGTTTGTATTCAGTGAGCATTTCTGTAACCCTGGGCCATCTAGTAATTTACAGACAAGTAATACTTGAAAATCTATTCTGAATGTGACTAGGGGGCCAGTGTAAAGACCTGAGGACAGGTGTGATGTGCTCTGATTTTCCGATTCTGGTCAGAATCCTGGCAGCAGCGTTCTAGATGAGCTGCAACGTTCTGGCTTTCTTTTTAGGAAGGTCATTGAGGAGTCCATTACAGTAATCCACCCTGCTGCTGATAAAAGCATGAACAAGTTTCTCACTGGAAACAAAGCATCTAATTCTTGGAACGTTTTTGAAATGATTGTATGCTGTCAGTGTACGGGTAACAGCTAGACAATGCCCATAATGCACTGTTAGAGTTAGCTTGCTGAATGAGTTTTTGTTCGACTATAATAGTGCACTAATGTAGGGCTTAGTGAGTGAGGGGGGGACTTCAGATACAGTTCTACACAAATATAGAGGGGAGGATGGTGTTTTAGGGCGTACTCACACTGTGGTTGCCTTGAACCAGGCCGAAGCACACTTGTCCCCTCTCCCGTCTCCTCCGACAGCCCGCACTCACATTACATCCGGGCCTGGGCAAGCTTATGTCATCAATGCTGCGCTGTTCAGTAAGTGCTTTCGCTCAGCACAGTAGAGATTTATTTAGTTATTTTGTTTTAGTCATTTGGGATGCAGTGACACACTGTCAAATATTTCGCCGAACAGATCATCCACTGCTGCTGGAATTAGGAGGTTTGCTGAAGGTGCAGCAGTCATGCAGTGAGGGGTTTGCGTCTTAAATAATCTATAACAGTTTGCGTTCATTATGATTAATAAACACATATGAAACAGTCCCTTAAAAGTCACGTCTTGTCTTCAGTTTCGGTATCAGGCACGCTTTGCACACACTATACAAGCGTACCGCCCAAGTGAACCACGGTTCTATCACACCTCTTTCAACCGGGCCAGGGCTGGCCAAGTGAATCATGCCTGAGCCTGATTCAGAGCACTCACACTTCTCAAACGATCTGGGAAACGGGCCTGGGCACTGTTCAGATAGCATAGAGTACACCCATTGGTCTTTTCGCTAAACATTTTGGAGTATTGGGCGTCATTTTGGAGTATGCCCATTGGTCTTTTCACTGAACTTTTCCAGCATATATTTTACACAGTGGATGCCTTTATAATTATAGATTTATATATTTATGTATTTATTGTTTTAGGAATTAACAGGAAATTCTGTAAATAAGTGGGTGACATTTAGGATAATGTCTTCATTTTTTTTTAAATGTAATTAATTTAAACATTATCTGATTCCATTTTTAATATATAACAGGTGTGTCGAATAACACTAATAAACTCAAATAACTAATAGTGTAGAGTTTTTAACGGTGTGATTTATTTTTGGACATTTTAATCTAGGTTGATAATTTTGGTCACTATAATAGCAATAAGTTCATTACTTCTTTTTTATTTACTTAAAATTGTTTCTGTTTGTTTTTTCTTGGAATTTAGCAATAATTGAAATAAATTTGAAATTTTCCCATTCTGGGCTAGTCTGTGGTGTCGTGTCACTTTTTTACCCCAACATCTGCTTTTTTATAAATATAGAAAATAATAAGTAAAATGTCTAAATTTGAAAATTCTTAAAGTGTGATGTCACTGAACATCCTTTACATCCTATTGACCTTATTCTAAAATGCGGATATGCAATCGTTTTTTGCGATTTTAGAACTTCCAAATTAGTTGCTTATGGAAGAAATGAGTAGAGATACTAAACATCAGAAAACGGTCTTGCTCTACAAACAAGTGTGTACAAAATATACAGACAAAGCAGAATAATATAATAAGAAAATATCAGTTTGCAAATTCAAGAACAAACTTTAACCTCTAAAAATTAATAGAAGTGAATAAGACAGATGGCTGCGCCTACTCATGCGTGAAGAATAAGGTCAATAAAGAGCTTCTTTTACATCTTTATAAAGCTTATATGATTTATATGACTTACGGTTGAAGTCGGGGTTATTAGCCCCCCTTTGAATTTTTTAATATTTTTAATTTTTCCCAAATGGCAAGGAAATTTTCACAGTATGTCTGATAATATTTTTTCTTCTGGAGAAAGTCTTATTTGTTTTATTTTGGCTAGAATAAAAGCTGTTCTTAATTTTTTAAAAAACATTTTAAGGACAAAATTATTAGCCCCTTTAAGCTATTTTTTTCGATAGTCTACAGAACAAATCATCGTTATACAACTTGCCTAATTACCCTAACCTGCCTATTAGTTAAATATTATTTACTGTCATCATGGCAAAGATAAAATCAATCAGTTATTAGAAATGAGTAATTAAAACTGTTATGTTTAGAAATGTGCTGAAGAAATGTTCTCTCCGTTAAACAGAAATTGGGGGAAAAAATAAACAGGGGGGCTAATAATTCTGACTTCAACCGTATGTATCCTAGCCAAAGCCAAAACCACAATCTGAAGAACCAATTTTATGACAAAGAGCTCTCCGAACCTTTAAAGAACCATTCAGCAACTCTTAAATAGATGAATAATAAAAGCCATAACCAGCACAGTGAGGATGATAATACTAATGACTGTTATGATCTGTTTTAGGCCACCGAACCGTTTCTGGTGAATGAAGACCCTTCCAGAGGTCCTGGGATACCAGAGTGCTTCGTCGTGTCTGATTCCTACAGGGTACGTCTCCTAATCATTCCTTTAGCATCATTACTGATGTTACACAGTCAAGAAAAAACACTGCAAAATATAACCTTGATCATTATTTCCATGTGCAGTAAAACACAGCAACATGTGCAGAAAAGTAAGCCTCATAACTCTACCGGAGAGCTGTTTTCTTGTGGGAAATGAAAATTATAACAAGCATACTTCTATAAAATGAGAAGTGTACATGAGGGCAAGACTGCGAGGAAGGGAGGGCGCAGAAAGAAAGAGAGGAAAAAAAATACAGAAAGGAGAGCAGCTTTTAAAATTCCACCCGGCGAGCGCGCTGGATTTACAGCGATGGGAGTGAAATAAAATGGTCATAAAAACAGAAGGGCGGGACGGAGATGGAGAGATGGGAAGGGGAGTCTGTGGATGACTGAAAATGAGACTGTTAATGAGCTGGGAGCCGCTTTTCTAGTCCTCGTTTCCAGCGGATCGCTTTTGCCAACGCATTGGGGAAAAAAGGAGAGCTGGGTTTCTCCAGAGTCTCAGTGAGCAGGCGCTTGTAGAAATGGAGGGAAAATGAGGAGACGCGATTGGCTGAAAGTGCAGTAGGGTGGGTTGAGGTGTGAAATATAGCTGTGCTGGATATCAGGAATGTGTCAGACTGTATCGTCCGGCAGGGTAATTTAGAGGAAAAGGAGGGCCTGGCTGTGTTTTTACAGCAGTAGGTTTTTCTTTTGAAATTTTGTGGAGATACCAGGAGAAGTTCTTATTTCTTGAAAAATAGAAAAATAGCTAGATGATCGGACATGATGTCTGGTTGATCAAAAGAAAACAGCAGTATACTAAAAAATAATTAATATTTAAAAGTCTTTTAAGTTTATTGCACACTCAAACGTTTGAAATGTATGATTTTTTAACCCTTTTTTTTAAAAAAAAATAAATAAATAAATAAAAAATGATTAAAATATTAGATTAAAATACAAATATTAGTATAAATGTTTTTTTTCTAATGTATTTCCTGTGATGCAAAGCTGATTATTTTGCATTATTACTCGTCTTCAATGTCACATGATCTTTAAGCAATCATGACGTTTTAAATCATATCTGTTATTACTATTTGCTAAATCAAATATTGTTGATTATTGTTGATTAATTGTTTCAGCTCATTTTAAATAAGTAGTTTAAACAAACATCAAACATTATTTTTCAAGTGTATTATTTATTTATTTAACCTAAATTACCAGGGTGCCAGGAAAATTATTTATTTATTTATTTATCCTAAAATGCCAGGATGCTAGGAGTATTAACTAACTATTTATTTATTTATTTATTTATTTATTTATTTATTTATGTATTTATTTATCCTAAAATGCTAGGAGTATTAACTATTTATTTATTTATCCTTAAATGCCAGGGGGACAGAGGTTTTATTTATTTATTCTAAAATGCCAGGGTGCTAGGAGTATTATTTATTTATTTTTTCATTTATTCTAAAATGCCAGTGTGCTAGGAGTATTAACTCTTTATTTATTATTTTTTAATGTATTTATTTTTATTTTTAATGTATAATTTTTTTAAGTTTTTATTTATTTTATATTATTATAATTTTTTTTATTTATCCTTAAATTCCAGGGTACCAGGAGTTTTAATTTATATATTAATTTATTATTATTTTTTATTTATTTATTTGTCTTATTTATTTATTTATCCTTAATTGCCGGGGTGCCAGGGGTTTTATCATTTATTTATTTATTTATTTATCCATTCTAAAATGTCAGAGTGCCAGAAGTATTATTTATTTATTTATTTATTTATTTATCCTAAAATGCACTTAAAACAAAAATCTTGTTGCCCTAATTTTTATTTATTTTTTTATCAAATGAAATTTTCTAGTCATCTCAACGTATATAAATCCAATTGACTAAAATATATTAAGGTAAACTTTGCATGACTTAAATGTAGTTTAAACCTGATTAACTAATTCAAATATAAGATAGTAACAAAAACATTTGTAATCATGGCTCTGTCATAGAAGTTTTTTTACAGTGTGGTCTTAAATTGTTTTTAGTATTTATAGTCAACCGATTGTTTGTTCTTATTTTTTTTTTATTTATTTATTTATTTATTTATTTATTTATTTAAGTTAAATTAACAAGAAATGTTAGCGTACATCACATTTTTTTATTTATTTAACATCACATTTCCCATAAAACTACTGTATTTAGCAGCACAACCCTTTTCACTATTCTTCACATCTGTGCCTTTAAAACCAGATGAGAACTGCTGCACTTGTCTACATTTAACATATAGAGACTAACAAAATAAGCATGCAGTAGGTAAACCTTGACTCCCACACCATGCCAAAGTCAAGTTTTACTGTTTTCTATTTAAACTGCACAAATAAATGTCCAGTATTCAGCTCCCATGTACAGCACACAGCAGATAAAGATGTAGTTGTGCTCACTGCAAAAGATCCAGCAGCTCTTGATTTACTGGTGTGGTCGTGTGTCATGTGTTAGTTTAGTCTCGTACCCACTCAAACCACTAAATGTGGGGCACATCTTGAGAGGTGGTACATGAGTTATCACGTCACTCCTCTGCTCTTACCGCTGCAGCGCTTTCAGCTGCGTTTGTGGCATTTTACTACAAATCAGGGCAGAAAGCTCAGGAAATTCCCTTCCCCTTCAATCCACCTGTCTTCTGTACTTCCAAAAAGACTAAAACCATTTGGGAATTTGCATGAATTTTTAATGTTGGTATACGTATTGTTAGTTTTAAAGATATCTATAAGCTAGTGTGCTCCAAATCAGCGACACAATTCGCGTTTAGAAGATCTAAAACTGATTTAAACATGAAAAACTTGTAGTGTGTCACTTAATAAATGGATCAATGGTTTTATAACTGTTTTAACAAATTGCTATTGGCTGTTTTTGTAAACGGGGAGGAGCTACACTATGTCCCACCCTCTCTTTGAGTTACATCGAATAAAAATGCACGTTTCAAAGCACTTCACAGGACTGCTGTACTGCATTTTAAAATTATGTCAATTTTGCGTGTTTATTTGAATATATTATACTAGTAAGTACTACTCATTTTTTAACAACAGTAAACATTATTTATATTTTATTTATTTTTTTGAACCCTCAGATTCCAGATTTTCAGTTTGTATGCATGTATTTATTTATTTATTTATTTATGTATTTATCCTAAAGTGCCAGGGTACTTGGAGTATTAACTATTTATTTATTTATCCTAAAATGTCAGGGTGCCCGCTGTGAACTCCTAAATGCTTGAAAATATACAGATGAATATGGATATTTTGGGAGATTAGCACAATATGACTTAATCCTAACAATGTTTAATCTGGCACCTTCTGTTTTGTTTATATGTCAGATTCTATTTTTTTTTAGTAAAATATACAGCTACAGTATAGGAAAAACATTGAAACCACTCAATATTTCTGAGTTTCTCTGATATGTAACGGATATATCAGGTTGCTTATTTGTTAGGTAAAATTTCTATTTGTTTTATTTCTCTTAAGGGTCTCCTAAAATATTGTAAATTAGAGGTAATTTTTTCACTTTTAGATATTGACAACTGAAATTACCACACTACCAAAGGACATTTTTAAGGCAGTAGTTCACATTTTGTATTTACGTTATATGAAGCTTTTCCAGCCCAATATCACAAGGAAACATACCTACTTTATGTATAGTCACACTGTTAAAGAAAAACATGTTTTTTTGCCCATTTATTTGTGTTTATGAATTTCATTATTGAAACTTGATCATTCCTACAAAACTTTTGATGTCAAAAATTTTGAAAAAGGGTCTTTTATTAATAGTTTTAAGACTATGAAGAAATACGATGACTGGCTGTGGTTTAATGATGCTTCAAAAACCTGGTAATAAACCGGCAGATCTTTTTACATTTTTACATTCCTAGTTTTATATATATATATAAATTCTAAAACAATTTATTGTTTCAAATTACTAAAACTTCAGTAAAATTCATATGATTTCAGTTGTACGAAAATGTAAGATTTTTAAAAGGAGGTGTGTCCCCTAAAACCACCTGTCATTGGGCGATGAGCAAATCATACTAAAATGTACAAATAAGATCGTACAAATTCACCACTTAGTCAAAAAGTTTTTGTTAAATTACAATTTTGATGTACTTATCAAATCATATATATATATGCTGTGTGAATACAGATTGAACATAATAGGCGAATGTGAATACAATTTTACCCAGTGGCTTAAATAGCTATTTTTAATATTAAATTACAATAAATTACTCAAGAAATACAATATTTAGTCAACATTTGAACAAACCCAACATTTTTTCTTTCAATTAAATTTAAAGGACACTTTTTTTTAACTCAATGGTTGGGGTTGAACACAAAGAATACAATAAAATGGTAATGCACAAAGTACAGAAACAATTAAATATAAAGGCCTGTCAATTTGTTTACAGTTTGCAGTTACACCACAAATCACTTGTTCAGAATAGTAATGCCTGGTAAACTATATTCCTATACATCCTGCGATACGACTATTGCAGGTGTGCACTTTGTGATGCAAAAAAAAAATGATATATTGTAAAGGCCCTACTGCAAACATCACAAACATGTCAAACTCTAAAAAACAGCAATCACTAAAACCCACACACCGTAGAAATGCTGGGTTCCACACAATGGATTTGTGTTGGGACAACATGCAGGAGGTGATTACATTATATTAAAAACACAGCAATAGTGTCAGATGCAGCACATTGATTTTATGGCACCAGGTTTTGCTTTCTGACACCTTTACGGTACTCACGTACATCAAAAATAAATACAGGCCACAACTGAACATGGAGGATAGTCTTCATGTGGCGTTCTCCAAAATTAAACGATGAATAGACTTGGGCCTCTTGGTATGCGAGCGCCGTTGTGTGCAAGATTTATATATTTATAACCACCTCAGAGAAAACTGGGGGTCGCAAGTCACTGGCATTGTTATCTTGGGGGTCGTGGGTTGAAAAGTTTGGAAAGCTTTGCCTTACAGAAATCTACAAATGTTACTGTAAAATGTGTAGCATGTGCTTGGACACACAGCAGGTCAGAGGTGACGTGAGGTGACTGGTGACTCCCGCAGGTGAATGTGTTTGCTGTGTGGTGGGCCTGAAGCGGCGTACAGCACACACTCTCTCTCTCTCTCTCTCACTCTCTATCTCGGGTTGTTTTGGCAGAGGGCTGTAATTGGCCACACAGTGCCGAGTTCTGTCTTTGTTTCCCCTGCAGTGGCTTGCGGTGGAACTGCACCGGCAGCAGGGCCTCATAAATCTCCAGGCCTCCGGTGGCACATCCAGCCTTCAGCTCCGGTTCTGCTCAATGACTTCACCCCCACCAAAAATCCCCACCCAGGGACGCGCTCCAGAACTTTATACTGCTCTTTCCTTAATGTTCACTCCTTTCATGTATTTTGCAAGGCACATTCATTTTGAAGTTTGGGAGGGAGGGGGAAAGACAAGTGTGTGTGTGTGTGTGTGTGTGTGTGTGTGTGTGTGTGTGTGTGTAATCCAGGTGATTTTGCGCACATCTTTTTTTACGAGATATGAATATGATACTGAGTACAGCGTATAGTACTTTTGTATTTGACACTCATTTCCGGACACAGATATATATTTTTAAGCATTTATTAACTTAATTAAACTTTTTTCACTTTGTAAAGGGAAAACTTACAATTTTGTCGTGATTTACTCACCTTTACTTGTTTCAAACCATTATGAGCATCTAGTTAATTAATGTATAGAGGAATGAAAGCATGGAATGAATTGCTGTCAGACCTTACATGCCTTGTAACAAGAAAAATGAGGTTTAAAAATAGTTAAAGAAATATTTAATGGCACAATATAAAGTGGATTGTTGATCTGGATGTTATGTTTGAATTTTGGGTTTTTATGTTTTGTATTGGTCTTTGTTGTTATAGATTAATGCAATTTTAGGAAGAAGAATAGCTACTACAGTACCTTGTCAGTGGCTAATGGAGATCCTGATAAATAAATAAATTAATTAATTAACGTGTATTCTTCTGTTGAACGCAAAAGAAGATATTTAGAAAAATGTTGAAAACCTGTAACCATTGACCTGCATAATAGGAAAAACAAATAATATGAAAGTCAATGGTTACAGGTTTCCAACCTTTTTCAAAATATCTTTTTTTGTGTTCAACAGAATAATGAAAAACATAATGGTTTGAAACTTTGTGAGGGTGGGTAAATAGTGAGTAAATGTACATTTTAGTGTAATTCATCTCTTATTTGTATATAAAGGTTGTGTTTTTGAAGTACATCTGAGTGCAATTGCAAAGGCCCAACAAATATACAAGAATAGAGAACTGAAGAGGACTATAACAGCCTTATTAAATGTATTCATATTTTACAAATATAATTTAAGACGTATACTGTGCATGCAGCAGAAAGTATATTTGTTTTTAGGTAAAGAAAGAAAATACCTAATGCACACATATTAGCTAATGTTGTTTTAATTAGGATAATACAATTAGGATCAGGATAAAAAAAAAGTTCTCATAATTGCACATTTTGTTTTGTCATTTATTTTTCCTTTTTTTATATACTGTAAGATGACACTTAACAGATCAGTTTATTTACATCAATATTATACTAGAAATGCCATAACCATCTGGGTCATACTTAGCATTGTACTGTTTGCATTTAAATACGAATTCCATATATATTAAATATTATTTAAATGAAAATAAATTCATGATTAGGCATGGGCCGAGATTCTGACGAAATGATAACCTCAGGTAAAAATATCACAGTTTGATATCACGGTATTGTAATTACTGCTCTAAAATATATTCTTATTAAATGTCTGAATAAAAAACAAACGTTTCCCCCTTTAAACATGGTATATATTTTCAACGTTTAAAATATTTTGAAACAAATGTCAGGCTAAATCATTTAAATAAGCATTTAAAAACACAGATTTTTTTTCTTTTCAACTTGAAAAGGCATCTTTAGATATCTCTCTTTTCTGGATCTAAAGTGAGCCACTGCACTGTTCAGCTCTACAGCATGCTGGATGTTGGTTTATAAGAGATTTGTTTTTCAGATGTTTCCTGAATCATGGTAGCTTGTGATGTGGAGGGTCCTTTTCTATGGTTGCCCTAAAATACAAAAAAAAAAACAAAAAAAAAACAGTTTATTTATTTATTTATTTTACTGTTGTCGAAAAATAAAAAGTATACCTCAGGAACGGTATTATAGAATTTTTTTAATGGTTTTAAAATCTTGACTTTTCAAAACCGTAGTAAACCTGGTTATCATCCATGCCTATTCATTACACATTATAACAGCTAATGTAAAAAGTGAGAATGATTTGTCATTTAAAAAAAAACAACTATTTTGGTAATGTTTTCATTAAAACATTTTTCACAATATCATTACTTTTTAAAACAAATTTAAATTCTTAAATATGCAAACGTGTTTTGGTAATGAATATTAGAATTAACATTATGGTACAAGTACTGTAGAAACGTTTTAAAATGTCAAATCAGTTAACTTTTTTTGAGGGAAATAAATTGGTGAATTTAATGTGTTTTGTAATAATGTTTGTGAGAAATGATTCAAAGTAACTTTGAAACAACGTTCTATCAACGTTACTAAAAGATAGTTTGTGGTCAACGTATTCCTAAAAATCTATCTTGAATGAGTGAATGAGTTTACTTAGCTTGTGATGTGGAGGGTCCTTTTTGTACTGTTGCTTTCATTAAAACACATAAAACACGTTATTTCACAATATCTTTACTTTTTAAAAACATGGTTAAAAATTATTATTTATGCAAAATATTTTGCTAATGAATATTAGAATACATTAAGGTACAAGTATTTTAGCAACGTTTTAAAACGTCGAATCTCAATTAAAACATTTGTTTGGGTAAAATGGTGCTTATAATGTGTATTGTAATGATGTGTGTGAGAAATGATTGAAAGTAACTGAAAGAACGTTCTATCAACGTCACTAAAAGAATGTTTGTTCTTAACGTATTCCTAAAATCCTTTCGAATGTTTGTCTGAAGTTCTGAAGACAACCCCTGCTACTGTAGCTGTAGTTTTACAGGACTTGAACTTACTCGTTATTTTACTTTACTTTTCACTATGCTGAGCTATGAAAATCTTACCTTCCAGACTTCACGCAGCTTCCACACATGCTTTAACACTCAAATCTCACCGAGACTCGTGTCGGTCAGGCTGATAAGACGCTTGTTTAGTCAATCGGAGAGAGAGAGAGAGAGAGAGAAGAAGAGAGAGAGGGAGACGACCCGTGGTAGAGGGAGGGAGAGAAAGTTTTTCTCTTCGCAAAACTTTGTGCAAGCTTTCACTTTCAGCCGCTTTAGGCGGAGTTACAGCAGCGTGCAGTGAGCGAGCGCGGGACGGCAATGCCACTTCCATCCCGCTTCAGTAACGCATCTCACATATAAGCATGTACTCTCCATACTGCCTCACACAGGTAACGCATTCCTTCTTCTTCTGCTTGATTGATTTGCAGTGCTGTTTGTCTGTCTGTCGGTCTCTCAGCGGTTCCCCGCGGCTTCGGGGCTGCTGGAGTTGTAGGCTACTAGAGCGCGCGTTTGGTGGCACGTCTCCAGCTGACCTTCTTTACGCGTTTTCAGCGCGCGTGGTTTGGGCAGAAAATGGCGCTTCGTTTGGAATCTGTTTAATATAAGAGGAGGAGGAGGAGTGCATGTGTAACTAGACTTTTTAACTGCGAGTTAAGCGCCTGTTTCGCTCGGTCCCGCGCTGCACTTGGAGAGATTGGAAGACGCGCGCGGGTTTTGGAAAGTCCTGCGTTTGGCGTTGTTGCTGAAAGAGTTGAACTTGATTTTTTTTTTCTTTTGGAGAAATGTCAAAGGTCGCCAGCTTTGCACCAAAAACTTACGTTTGCCAGCCTAAGTGAATGCTTGTGTCGACTAGTATGCGGCTTTGCTTTTAAACGTGTATTTATATGACATTGGGAAAATATTGCTGGAGACGTTTTTTAAAGTTGTACTTGCACTCAAATGCACCCGGTGTAAAATAACAATTCCTGATTTACCTTTAAAATCTTCAGAATTATTTCCAACTACAGTTAATTCGTGCTAAGACCAGTAAATTGTTAGTTTATGCAGTTTTTAGACTTAAACTGAACATTTTGCAATGTAATAATGCATTTCTGTGTTAATCTTTATTTTTATTTAATGTGTAAAGATCATTTTGCCATATTATGAGCTGCAGGCAGCTTTAACAAGGTCATTTTTATGCACTTAAAAAAAGTTCAATGCACATTTTTACACAGTTTGAAAAATGTGTTTGCAATGAAATAACATTAATATTCGAGGTTTTGTGTTCATATAGCTTACCCTTAAGCCATGTACAGTGTGCAGCATATATACACCCCTCACAAACCTTTAAAATGCATATTTTTAATAGGAAGCTATACAATATTTGCACATATACATTAGATTAGTCAGTACTGAAGCCAAATGTGGAGCTTATCTAACAAAATAACTTACAATAACGGTCTAAAAACTATTACACCCAAATTTATGTTATATAAAAATATAAATACAAATTTAAAAACTGAGGAAAAATCAAGAGAAGCAAAATAAATTTAATAAAATTCAATTTTGGTGACTTAAATATTATCTTAACAAATATACCTGCTTAATAAATCTGTTTTGTTTAAATGCACCCAAATACTCCTATATTCACTGAGAAATGGGTACAAATATTAATATTCAAAATGGGGTGTACTCAATTATGCTGAGCCCTATATATAATAATTAAAAAATTCTATTTTTTACAGTAAAACTTTTTTCCTGATAAACACGACAGCTTTTAAACCAGGTGTTTGCAGATTTATCATTTCAATCACGTTTGAAGCAAACAGACATTCTCATTCATTATGTCTGTGTCTAAACTCACAATCGTACATCACAGAGCAGAGCTGACAGCTATTTTCCCTCATTTTTTTCTACCGATTCTTTGTCTTCAGAATTATGGCTGCCTTATAACACACAACGTTTTCCCTGCTCAAGTCTCTCTGTCATATGGTGCGGTTGTTTATATTTCTGCCATGGCGGACAGTTTGGCTTGCTCTGCGTGTGTCATGTGTAATTCATTCCCGAGTTTTACAGTGGTTCTATTAAAACAATTTTACTTCCATGCCCCCACCACATGCTTGCAGATCCAGGCAGCGTTTGTTTTTCTTTGGGGCATGCAAGCGCCGGCCTGTTTCCCATTTAAAATACAATAGTTACTGTGCGCAGCCGTGTTCCCTAATTGATTAAAGTGGTGCAATTTGAACAAGGATTTATTCTGTGATTTAATAGACATGTTGAGTTTGAAAAAAATGCTTCTTCATAAAGTGGCGTTTTTATGAAGAATTCTTTGTAGCGTTTATGTACAGTACAGGCAGTCTATGTCCGACATGACGTTCGCAGATTACTGTAAGTGTAGTGTAGGTGGCTTTTTACTAAGCAGACTGCAACAGATTTATCTCTTGGGTCTGAAATCTCCATATTTTCCTGTTTAGATTGCACTGAATCATACCTGCGTCGGCTCCAGAGAAAACAACGGCAGTGGGTCAGTCGCAACTAGAAAAGCAAATGTGCCAAATGATTTATTTATTGGATGACTTTAGTCTATCTATCTATCTATCTATCTATCTATCTATCTATCTATCTATCTATCTATCTATCTATCTATCTATCTATCTATCTATCCATCTATCCATCTATCCATCTATCCATCTATCTATCTATCTATCTATCTATCTATCTGTACATAGAATATGCAGTAATATTAGCTTTGCATTTGCATCAGTGTTTTAGCCAATTTAAGCAGCTTTTCGGATATGAGGGAAGAGAGACCGAGAGAAAGCAGGTCTTCACCGTTGCACTCGAGGTTCGTTTCTCATGAATAGATTTACATTTCAGCTTGTTTGAAGGTTGTTCATGATTAAAGCAGGTCTGGAGGCTCATTGAGGGCTTTAAATGTAAATAAAAAAGGAACTGAAGCTTGCTGGTGAATGTGAGGATATTTTCCAGAAATGCACTCGTATAGTGAGTTGTAGATCAGTATAGATGTCGGTCTGCACAATATATCGTTCCAGCATCAATATCGCAATATAGAGCCCGCTGTAGTCGGATTGCAGGTATCTGCAATGTAGTTGACCAGACATCACAGTTAACAACATGTAGTGGAGTAATTTCATATTTTAATCGTTCAGTCAAAGTTTATTATTTGTATGTGTTTTTAAAGCCTGACTGTAAGAATTTGAAGCAAATATGGGCACAATAAATGAAACGTTTGTAGTTTAAAGATGAATTGTAGATTATATAATCATTTACTCAATTAAAACAATAGTGTTATTATTATAATTATATGGCAATTATATAATTTCTGCTTCTAATTACTGTTTGACTCACCAGAAAATCCTAAATCATTGTTTTTTTCTGCATATTTTATCTGTTGTATTTCACTTGTCATTTATTAAATTATAGTTTATTCCTTTACACAATCATCCCAATCGATTTAAAATTATGAATTCTTTACAAGCTTTTCAAGTTATTAGCTATTCAATATATATCGCAGTGAATACAAAATATTGCAATGTCAGTTTTTTCTATCATGCAGCCTTAATGGAAATTGTTCAAAATCTTTATATGATTGAATTGATGCGAATTAGGGATGGTTGATGCCATAATTTTGGATTCGATACTATACCTGAATGTAATATCTATTGTAAACAAAACATTTTTGGTGCCTTCAAATTTTCAGTTGAATCAAATGAAATTTTCTAGTCATCTCAACTTGCGTCAATCAAACTGACTAAAATATTAGGTTAAAGTTTGTATAACCTAATATATTGAGTTGAAACCTGATTAACTTATTTAAATATGTATCAATAATATAAATATTTGCTGTCCTGACTTTTCGTCATACTTCTTCATACTTCCGTCAAAAAAATTCCTGGTTTCCTTAATTTTTTAACCTGAATCAAATTAACCTTATGAGTCATTTGAGCTTGTGTGTGTGTATATGTATGTATATATATATATATATACCGTCAGGACTAATTGATCATATATTTTTTTTAAGTGTATGATTGAATTGATGCTAATTTAGGATGGCTTAATGTCATAATTTTGGATTCAGTACCATACCAGATTGTAATATCTACACTGTAAGCAAAAATATCGATGCCTTCAAATTTTAAATTGAATCAATATAACTTTTCTAGTCATCTCAACTTGCGCCAATTAAACTGAATAAAAATATTAAGTTAAACTTTATATAACTTAACACGTTTAATTAAAACCTGATTAACATATTAAAATAAGATAAAGCAACATAAAACAGTTTGTTTTCCTGACTTTTCGTCATTTATTTACAGTTTACATTGTAAAAAAAAAATTCTGGTTACCTTAAATTTTTAAGCTGAATCAGAATAACCATTGATCTAATTCATTTAACCTATATTATGTTAAACTGACTTAAAATAGCTTGTGTACCATGTAAATTTAAGTTAGAACATGATTAACTTAGTTTAATAAGTTACAATGAATTAAAAATATATGCTGTGATAACTAATTGTTTCTATATTTTTTATAGTGTAGTTATCGATATTGAATCGATGCCAAATGATTATTCACCAGCCTCATAAGCAAAGTGAATTAAACACTTCATTATAATTATATATATATATATATATATATATATATATATATATATATATATATATATATATATATATATATATATATATATATATAAATACCTTTGTATCAAACTTTAACAATGCATTTTTATGATATATATAAACATATGCTGGACAAAAATGTTAATTTGTTTAAAAGGGATTTATCTGTGGCAAAATGCTTTCCATATTAATGCATATTTATATTTTACTGCGTAAAAGTTTCCAGAAAGCAGTTGTGTGTGCTGTTACACTTTTATTCAAATGACTATAATGCCACTGAATGAGTTTCCTCTTATTCACCAAAGAAATGTTACTGACCATTGAAGGTCGTTTTGAATTAAATTGATTTGCTTTGTGCCCAGAAATGAGGGCCGACATCAAAAATTATATCTAATTATGTACTTGTGTTTTGTATAATTAAAGAGAGAGAGAGAGAGAGAGAGTGTGTGTGTGTGTGTTAGAGAGAGAGAGATTATCACATACAGCTGCAGGGTCACACCTGCCTTTTTTTAAGCCCAGCTCACAC